CCTCCTTTCCAAAAAAAAAAAGTGTCTTATGTTGCTTACCTGAGAATCACATCCATTATCACGAAGATTCTGTCACTATAATTTGAGGCATCTAGGGCAGCATTTTGAGAATTGCTGTTGATAAAATCCACTTTCTTTTCATAGAACATGCTCTGTTTTGTACGAGTCCAAATGTTACATACAGATTCTTCAAATTTCTTGTACAGTATTGGTTTGCAATTTAAAGTGATTTTAGGCCATTAGTGTAATGCAAATGCTTGCACTGCACTGTTTTCCATAAATATAAAAACAATGCTCCTAAAATCCATAATTCTTTAAAACTGCTTGTGTGTCATTATAAAAGTTGGCTTTGTGTAGTTACACTGAGACATACAACCTATAAAGTGAAAATACTGCAGATTTTAGGACCCCTTCTTCTCTAGTCACAATCATTTAAACAGTGTACCCCAGGATGAAAAAAGCTCCATGGCTGGCATGTACAGTGACATGTATGAATGACTGCTCTACATCATACGTTCGGCCTTTGGCCACCACCACCTCTATTCCACATACAATTCATCATTCTTGTTTGCCTGCAGACTCTTGCAGTGCCTTGTAATATTTACAATCTTTTCAGGTTTTTGCTGGAAAGAAAAGTAGTCTTCTAAAGTTTGAAGATGGTGAATAGCGTACTGCTGTCTCCATGCTGACTGCGGCAACTGGGTTATCATATATGTATACGTTATGTATATGTAACGTGTGTACATTTAAAAATACAGAAAAAAAGTGAGCTTGTGCAGAAATGGAGAAAACAATGTTATTCTCATCACTGTGGGGTTTTATCGAAATTATTTTTTCCCATGACTTACATGTTTGGTTCAGATTATAGTCACTTTGACTGTAAATACTGGCTCATTTTCTATCCAGGGGTTTTGCATTATTTCATAATTTTGCTAAATCATATAATAGTGCTATTTTCATCCTTGCCTGAGGTACTTTTCCTCCCCAGAAATAATTAACTTGAGGTAAAGCTCAGAAATTCCCTTCTTACTTAACAAAGAGCCTACTATATAAAAAGGGCCTTCCTTTCCAAAAAACACACAAACCTGTCCTTTTCATTTTCCTTCTTAGAAAATGGTTGTACTAACCATCCTGCTTGTAGAGTTTATTTGGAGGATAGTCTGTATGTCCAGCCACCATGTTTACTTCTCAAAGTGCAAGTCTGATGAATAGTACTGTATCTCCATATGTGGCAATGTGAGCATTTCATCATGAAGTACCTGCTGCTATGTCTGTGAAGTTGGGTGTAACATCGTAAGAATATGAAACCAGTATTGGTGTAAATCTAATGAAAATAACCCTATGTATATTTGTAGCAGTCCTGAATCTCTATTTAAGGTAATTTGCTGTAATATAACAAATATTGATTCTGTTTTTCATCCCTTCCTTGCCAGTTTTATATCAAGCATGAATTCTAATGGTTTGACAGCAAAATTATCTGTGAAAGTTTAAAAGGCACTTTTCTGCTGTGATTTTTGGATTGAGTGTGGAGTGTTATGTACAGTTTGATGAGATGTATCATTTTAGAACCCCAGATTTAATTCTAGTCCAATTAATTTTGTTTAACTACCTCGTTTTCAGTGCTGTTTTGGGTGCACAAGTAAACACTGCCTGTGAAACATGCTTTTTTTGCCTTGATTCTCAGTAGTCTTTCAGATTATAAATCTGGTCTGCCTCTTTTTCCCAGTGCCAGCCAAGAGTTTGAGGTGAGAGGGACCGTCACTCTGCCACCAGTCTGTGTTTAAGTGGAGAGCCATGTGCTTCTGTGAAATATGCTTTGGGGATTTGGGGGTAGAGAGCAGAATAATAATTGAAATTGGTGGCAATATAGGACTTAGGTGTAGGAGTTAGCTAAAAAATAAACAAATGGTAAGAAAGTACCTGAATTAGACAATCCAGTGCCTATAACTTTGCATTTTTTATTAGAGATGCATTTCTCGTCTGCGTGCCTAAAGGGCTATGGGTTGAAATTGCTTTAACTACCACAGTGAAATATTTGACAAATCCTTCAGCAATGGCCTATCATTCAACACATATTAGCACACTGCTAGGTATTTGCAGTGATATTTTGTTACCTTATAACGGCCAAATGCATTAGTTGATTGTAAGGGTTTTATATAACTTTATCCAATCTCTAAAGTTTATGGAGGCATTGACTTTCTTCTTTGCTGTCTTTTCTGAGTGATGAAAATGATGCATTCCTTTTTTTCTTGAAAACTCAGCAGATGTTTGTAACCAGATATTCCTTGTTTCACGTTTACTGTGTAACACTACAGCATATTTAATACTAGTAAATACTGTATTTCAGTCATTATGCATAAGTATATTCCTGAGCTCTATTTGCCATCATTTTGGGATTCTGTTGTTTCACCTTCTGTTTGGGTCAGAAAAATTTGAACTATTTGAGGTGGTATGGAGGCCATTTTCTAGAATAGATTGTTTTTGGATTCTGTAGTTTATCAAGGACTTGTTCCCCCCGCCTTTGTTTAGAAGATGAATTAGAAAAGGGGGGCAGTGTGTAGAAAAGGCCTTTGATTTGATAGGTATAATTTCTAAGATTGAAATTTTTTAAAAATGCAGATTGTAAGATAGTAACACTCAAACTTAATAAAATCCTTTGAATTGAAATTTGTATCAAGTTTTTATGGAACCAAATGCCTTCAGGTAACCCTGGAAATAGTCTTTGTATGTGAAAGATGAACACAAACACTGGTCAGGGACCCTGACATCTAATATATGAAGGAGCCTGGGATAGTAACTAAGTAACACTAAAGTTATTTTCAACTAAGATAGCTACAAGAGTTTACAAACCAACAACTCCTATTCTGGAAGGTGTTCTTTTAATTAAAAAAATTCAAACAAGGCTAAAAGTCAAGCAAAAAGGGAAGAAAGAAACTGGGCTCTGAGAAAAATGTGCCAGTGTAACATAAACTCCTAAATGTGTGCTTGTCATCCTCTAGTTTTTGTTTCATTTGAAGTTGAATTTCTTTCCACTCTAACTTAAGATTTGAGATTGAGGTTTGTGGTCCAGAACATACCCTCAGCAGATATAGTGACTAACTGGAAAGTGCAGTTGTTTGAGGTCTGTCAT